GCCCATGTGGGCATTGAATCGGCAACCTTGGTGTTATCAGCACCACGCTCTAACCAACTGAGCTAACCGGCCACCCCCAGATATTTTTTAATGCGATGTTTATCTTTGAGGTGTTCAAATCACTACCCTTTTTATAAGGAGATGAGTTTTGAGGAAAAACTGGATATATGTTTAAAGGGCTTTTTTGTTCGTTTTTTAGTGTCATTCAATAACTCTTCATTTTTACCATTTCATTTTCCTTTTGTTTGTTTTTTCTTTTTTTTTTCAAATTCTCCTAATAGTTTTAATGTATGTTATCACACTGCAGTGGCACATGCTTTCCAATAGAAATTGGGAACAAAATAGGCACCAAAGTATTGTGAATATTATGGACCCCATAGGAAAAGCCATTTGACTCAGTTTATTATTTCTGCTGTTGGTGGGAGTTCTAGGCCAAGTCCTATAGCTTTCTCCTCTTTCTCCCTTAAAAGCCACTGTGATAGCTGGGATGAAAACCATATTAAGTGCAAACATTTATCAAACATTGGTGGAATAGCTATTAAATGCTAGAGACTGCTAATGAAGAAGAAGAAAAAAGACAAACTGCTGCTCTGTCTTTACATTCAAGTAATTTACAGTCAAATGCAGAGGCAGCCTTTGTAAAATTGTAGCCCAAAGGGAGCGCACACTTTCCACAGCTTTGTGAGGAGAGGTAAAAACAGGCCAAGGGGAGGAACTGTTGTCTAGTCCATTGAAACATGATATAAGTACCTCTTTGTTGACAAAAGTACTTTTTGTAATTTTTTTTCAATCAAACCTTTTATTTTGAGATAATTGTAGATTCACATGAGGTTGTAAGAAATAATACAGAGCCATCCTCTGAACCCTTTCGCAGTTTATTCCAGTCTTTCAAAACCATAGTGCATATCACAGCCTGGCTCTGTTAAGACACAGAGTTCCCATTGCCGTGAGGACCCTGTTGCCCATTCACAGCTACACCTGCTTTCCTCTCCTCCCATCTTTAACTCCTGGCAGTCATTAATTTTGTCATTTTAAGAATGTTATACATGGAATCATACAATAAGTAACCTTTGGGATTGGCTTTCTTTCACACAGAGTGATTCTCTGGAGATTGATCCAGGTGGTTGTATCAATGGTTTGTCCCTTTACATTGCTGAGTAATACTCCATGGTGTTGACCTACCACATTTGTTATCCTTCACCCTTTGAAGGATTGTCTGGGTGTTTTCAGTTTTGTGTAAACTAGTTTTCATTTGTCTGGGATAAATGCCCAGGAGTGCACTTGCTGGGTCATATGATAATTATATATTTAGTTTTTTAAGTAACTGCCAAACTGTTTTCCAGAGTGGCTGTACCATTTACATCCCCACTAGCAATCTATGAATGACCCATTTTTTTCACATCCTCCTCAGCATTTGATGTCATTATTTTGTATTTTAGCCATTCCGATAGGAATGTAGTGATATCTCATGGTGAATTTTATTTTGCATTTCCCTAGTGGCAATGATGCTTACCATTTTTTCATGTACTCATCTGCCATCTGTGTATCTTCTAATTGGATTTACTGTTGAATTTTAAGAGTTCTTTATATATTCTAGATACTAGTCCTTTGTCAGGATCTTTCAGGCGTATATTTTACCCCAATTATTCCATTGAAATTACTCTTCCTGAGGTCACCACTGAACTTTGAAACTCCAAATCCAAAAGCGCTCTCAGTAGCTCTCATCTGATTTGCCCTGTTTGCATCATTGGACCCCTTTGACCTTCTTGAATCATGTTCCCCCTCGGTTTCCATGATAATATACTGTTCTCTATTCTTCCCTTTCTGACCTCTACTCTTTAATCTTCTGTTTCCCCCTGTGCATCCATTAAATATTGCTATTTCCCAGGATTCAGTCCTCAGTCTTCTGGTCTGTTTTTTAGTCTTCAGGCTTTTCCTGATTATTGGATTCATATCCATGTCTTCAACTACCATCTATTGTGCTACTGACTCCAAATATGAATTTCAAGACCCTACTTCTTTTCCTGTGAATTAGATTTATATTTCTTACTGCATATTGGACATTCTAACTGATACTCTACATTTGAAACATGAACTCACTGTATCCCTCATGGTCTAAAATGTATTTCTAGCCCTGTACCCACTTTAGTTAATGGTATCACTGTTTACCCAGTTGCCCAAACCAGGAATCTGGAAGGTGCATTCAACCTTTTTCTTTCACTTCTATATCCCATTAGTTACTCGTCTTAAATATTCCCTATATCTGTTTCATTTTCTTTAGTCTTTCTGCCATACTTAGTTTGTGGTCATATTATTTGTCACATGGATTATTACCATAACCTGTCCTCCAAACTCCAGTGAGGTTAATCTTTGTAAGACTCACATCTCACTATGTGACTTCCCGACTTTAAAATCCTTCAGTGATTCCCTATGTCCTTCATCACTGCCTGTCAAGTTTTTCCACTGAAGCCCTTAATACCAGGGAGACTGAACTTATCCCCTACATGGAGGTGTCAGGAGGAGCCTAAATTGACTAGCTACAAGCACAACATTTCTTTGAAGTCTCATGCTTTAGCTTTAAAATTTATATTTACTCACTTATATCTCTTTTATATTAATATAAAAACAATGGTTTTCCCAAAAATCAAGTAAAATTCATGTTTCACAAGAATTTTCACAAGAAAATTCATGTTTCACAAGCTCCCTCAGGCATACTCCACATATAACCGAGTTTGAGAACCGTGAATATAAACATGAAGTAAAATGCGTTTTGTGCTAAAACTTTCTCGGACTTGGCTTCATTTTCTTTCTAGTATATGCTCTGTGGGCTTCTGCCACACCAAACTTCTTATAGCTTGCCAGATATATCAGGTTCTTTCTGCTTTTGCATATGTTATCTCTTCTTCTTGAATGCTCTTCTCTTATCCACTTGGAGAACCCTACTAGTCTTTTAGACTAGTGTGATAATTCCTTTGCGGTAGCAACCTGAGTTTCCCTCTCCTAAGGAATTTGGGTGCACCACTATTGTGCTTTCATTATAACTAATATCATCTCTAGTATCGCTCATAATTCCATGGAAAGATGCTTCCCCCTCTATCAAACAGGGTCATATTTTATTCTCCCTTAATATTGTAGCTGACATTCAATAGATGTGGATTGTATGAAATAATCAGCCTCAAATGCGAATGAAAATTATGACTTCCAAAATGCTAAAAGCATTCACCAGCCAGTGGTTAACATCTTTTAGGGATATTGTGGAAGAATTCTTACCTGGATGAGAAGTTATCTCCAAAATATGTGTTAGGGTACCATTCAACTCTAAAATATTATTCTAATAGTGAACAAGAAGCGTTAAAAATGTTTCATCTCCATTAGCACCTTAATTGCAAACTGAAAACATATATAGAAATACCTTGATCTAGTGGAGTAGCTAAAGATTTTCATGGGCATATACAAGTTTCCTTATTTAGAAAATGATATTCTGTGACTTTCATAATTTTTATCTAAAGATAATATTTTTAAAGTATGCTAAACATTTTTTTCCTTGGACTCTAGCTTCCTTACGCTCAGAACTGAACCATCAACATGCAGCTGCAATTGACTTGTTACGGCATAATCATCATCAAGAACTGGCAGCTGCCCAAATGGAGTTAGAGAGAAGCATAGACATCAGCAGAAGACAGGTAGAGAAGAAGCACGTTCTGTTCTGTGAGGCTTCCTTAAATGTGAAGAGATTGGAATGTTCATAATTTTCTGAAAAATGTTTGTAATAACTAGGATTTTCACTAGTTATTATTTACTATCTATGTTAAAGAGTTTTATTTTTAGAGGGACATAGGTAATTATTCAATGTTTTGGTCATAAAATTAATTTTATTTCATGACCTTTTAATTGAATATTTTGAATTATACTTACATTTTGAGAAAGTGAACAAATATAAATAATACAAAGAGTAAAGACAGAGTACTTACTAAAAAAATAAGACTGCCTACTAGAACTTTCCATGATGTTCTATATCTGTGCTGTCCACTATGGTAGTCCCTAGCCACATGAGCCAAATATGTCTACTGTGACTGAGGACCTGAATTTTCAATTTTACCCAATTTTAATTAATTTGAATTTAAAAGTCATATTAGAGAGCATAACTATAGAAGTAGAAGATTCTCAAGAAGAAAAAAGATAACTTATATTACCATATCACTGTAGCACAGCTGCTATTTATGCTTTTTGAATTTTGTTCTTTGGCCGAGTATACTTCCTTTGATTAGATAATTCGTGATTTTGAATGTATGTATGTCTGGATGTGTGGATTTTTAGAAAGTACAATGAAAACTAGTATTTGTTTATTGGACTTAAGACTTTTACTTTGTAAGTCTTCAACTATGTTAAATGATCAGCCCAAATTTTCTTTTCATTACTAGGAAATTATAAATGAGCTACCTTATAACCACGGAGGGAAGTTATATTCTCTTCAAGTAAACTGACGTTGAAATTGACAATGTTAGGCCTGCAGAACTTGTAGAAAACAGTGACTTCCAAGAAAACAGAAGGGAGTTTAACTTTGAGACAAGATAACCACTAGACAAACAGACAAAGTCTGCCTTGTAAGCTGTGTGTGTGTGTGTGTGTGTGTGTGTGTGTGTGTGTGTGTGTGTGTGTGGTGGAATGACCTCCATAGATGTGGGTCCTTTTTAGTTTGAAGGACAGTGGTGCCAGACTTTTGCCACAAGACCATATAACTTCGTGAGTATGTGAGAGCCCCTCAGCTCTGCCATTGATTGTAAACTATCCTTGGACACATCATCTTTTGGGTATTGGTTTCCTGATCTGTAAAATGAAGGAGATGTGCTTTTATAGCATTTTGGGCCTTGTAGCTTTGACATTATTGAAGCTGTATCCATAAACACACTTCTTACGCATATGGAAAAAGAAGAGGCCTTGAGGTTTTTGCATTTCAGCAGTTTGCTTTTGAACAATGTCAGATTTGTTATATTTTGACATTCCAATATGTCATTTTCTTTCCCTCAGATAAGCACAGAAAGCAAATATGTAGAAAACTTTTAAGAATTATTTATCTTTTGCAGAGTAAGGAGCACATGAACAGAACAACAGATCTACAAGAGGAATTAAGGCACAGAGAGCTTCACATTTCTGATTTGGATAAGGAGGTACAGCACCTTCATGAAAATATAAGTGCCCTAACCAAAGAATTGGAATTTAAGGGGAAAGAAATTCTCAGAATACGAAGTGACTCTAACCAACAAATGAGGTATGCCATTAATTAAAACAGAAGGAATTTGCCGTGTTACCTGAGAGACTTTTGTGATGGTACTTAGCAATACATGCCTATTTTGATGACTAGACTGCCTTCTAGTAAGATATTGAAGACCATTTTTGACTTTTATTTGTTGACTACATGGTAATCTAGAACGTAGATGAAATGTTTGTATTTTGAATGATGTATATGTATTCATTCACTTTGGAAATTGTATAAAATTAACTAAAATCTTTTAAAAATGTTATTTTAAAAAGCATTAAAGGAGACAACTTTAGCAAGCTGGAAGATTAGAGCAAAGTAACTTACTTAAGCTGTTTCCATTAATTTTCTGTATATTATATTTTACCTAAAACCATTTCAAATCTGGTAGAATATAGAAAGTTTTGAAAGCTTGGTTTTGGAATAACATTTTCTTAACTAAAAATAAATTAAACAGGTTGCATGAACAAGATTTAAACAAGAGACTTGAAAAAGAGTTGGATGTCATGACAGCAGACCACCTCAGAGAGAAAAATATCATGCGGGCAGATTTTAATAAGACTAACGAGCTACTCCAGGAAATAAATGCGGCTTTACAAGTGTCGTAAGTCACATTATATTAAAGAAAATTCATATGCGGATAATATACTCAGGAGCACTGTGTCTAACCTCAGATTAGCTACTCTTTTGAACTAATTAAATGATACTTTAAAAAGAAAACCTAAGTGCCTATTACAGATGCTAACTGTAGTCTGATATGTTCTTAAATTAGGATAAGTCAGTTGATTGACTGTTTCATCGGCTCTTACTCCTCCAGTTCTCCCAGGACAAATACTTCTCTAATGACTGTCCCTCAGGAACGTGAACTGTCATGACATGGTGTCATGACATGAACACTCAAAAGATGTCCATTAGATAATATGAAGTAAAAAGAGCATATTGTGACCAGTAGGTCACACTAATACATATTTTACAAAAATATCAAAAGATCTTAAAAAAACAAATATTAATGATTGTTGTTCTCTCTCAGGAGTGGATTAGGGAGGTATTGGGCATAGTGAAGAGCAAAGACTTCCTTTTAATTTTATATACTCTACTTAGATATTCTTTGAATTCTGTAACAAGCATTTGTTTTATGATTTTAAAAATCAATAAAGGTAAAATATCACCAATCAACTTATTGGTCATACATATTAATTCAAATATTGTTAAAACAGATTTCTAATGATTGCTTAATGTTTTTAAAAAGTACCTCTCTTTCCTAAACTGCTGGAGCCAATGTAACTAGCATTCACTTCACTTCTGAGGGCCCAAACCCTGGTTCAACTTAAGTTATTTCAGAATCAAACTACTCTAAGCTGCTATAGGTAGTTTATGCAGTCTCTCCTCTTTCAATCAATTAAAAAGGCTCCATGAAAGATATATAATTGTCTCCACATACTTCTGTAAAGTCAAAATAGTGACTATCCCATTACCCTCAGTCTCAAACTTAAACTCTTAGCTCTAGTGAGCCTTATCCGGCCTGGTCCATAGCCACCCTCCTTCCATGTCTGCGCATTTGTGTCAGCCACACTGACCTTAGTTTCCTTCTAAGATTCTCCTGTATTGTCCTCTACAATGTAGAATAACCTCCTATGCCATTACTACCTAATTACCTTTCCCCGGTCTAAAAATCATCTTTTCACATTTCACCCATTTCACCAATTAAGCCTCACAGTAAATAACGTTACATATGTAACATATATTCACATTCACTTAAACTGGAACAAAAAATAGATCCCCAGTCCTTAGCATTTACGTTAGTGGCCTCTGAGGTGAGGTGCTCTAATGGACATATACGGAATTTTTACATTAGTAAGCACTCAATGAATGTTTATATCATGAATAAATTTTTTGAGGATTCTCTATATTTACCACTTCATGAAATGAGATCATTTCTCCAGTCACAGTCATTTTTCTTGTTTGTTGTTATTTTAAATCCTTCTGAGCCACAGTAAGAGCTCAGATATCTGCCTGGTAGAAGAGCACATAACATCAGGCATTTTGCAATAATGAGTTACCCTAAACTCTAATGTCTTGCCTTTCCCTTCTCCTGGCCTCAGTATTATTCATCAGGCAGAGGCTGAAATCCTGGCACCCCCCACTTCATGCCCTAGAAAAACATGCTTACAAAAAGAAGAATCTCTGTCTGTCCCGTGTCCTGTCTCCTTAGGAATGTTAATTTACAAGGAGTAAAGGTTATGTCTTTGTTTTCACTTTATTCTGTTTTATATGGTTTTGTTCATGATGGATTTTCAGTAGATAGTAAATACTAACTTAGTTTTTCTGTATTATGATCATTTTTAATAAGTAAAGAATTAGTGTCACTCATAAGTTAAATAATTTATCACTTTTCTAGATCTACCATTTGTTTTATGCTTCAACTAGGTTCATGCTAACCAGTCATATTTCTTTTTTATCAGAAACCTGCTGCCATCATATAATTAGCCTCTAGCTTTAGGTATTTACTCTTTTAGTTAAAAATACACAATGTATTTTAGACCAGCACCGTCCAGTAGATTTTTCTGTGGTAATGAAGCTGTCTTGCATTTGCTCTGTCTTGTACAGTAGCTAATAGGCCACAGTGAATGTTGACCACTTGAACTGTGACTAGTGAGATCAAGGAATTGAATTTTTTTTTTTTTTTTTTTAGCTGAGCCATTCTGCCACCTGTTGGCAGCTCAGCGGCAGTTCAGCTAGGGCTGGGAATTGAACTACTGTTGCTCAGAGCTCACACTCTTGAGCGAGCTCTTAACCAACTGAGCTACTCGGCTGGCCCAAGGAATTGAATTTTTAACTTCATTTAATTTTAATTAATTTGAATGCAAATACCCACCTGTGGGCTAGTAACTACCATGTTGGGAAACACTGTTGTAGACTATTGGATGTTTCTGACTCACATTCTTAAATGCAGCCAGCTTCCATCTGCTGACCGGTTTGGATTTAGACAGAAGGGGTGGTTGAGTAGGGAGAGTCCATTCCAGCTTTAGGAGTGAAGAGCTACGAGAACAACATATGCACTATTCCCAGCCTTTTCCAAAAGACTAAGGGTGCGCTGTTGAAGTTCCTCATCAACTTTATGCTGGCCTGAAAGTTTCAAAATCAGAAAACCCCTGTGGATTTTGGAAGTAGGGGGTCATGGAGGGATAGAGGCACCTGGGTCAGCCTGCCAGGCTGAAGCTGGAGCCATGGGGCCTCGGGAGCAGCCGGAAGCCTCTTTCTTCTGTTCCTGCCCCTAACCCTTTGGACTCCAGGGAAGAGGGGACAACAGATTTAGAGGATGGGAAATTACCCTCTAAACATTGTAGAAATGGTGGTAAGAGTTCTGTATCTCTTACAGAATGATTACTAGAAATCCTGTTCTCTAGTGCTGGGTATTAAAGTCTTAGATTTTCAGACAGTGTATAGATGTATTTTTATTTTCTTGAGTGATATAGTATCTTAGTAAAATTCCTGTACTAATAAAAATGTCATGGTTTTTGTTTGTTTTAGAAACAAATGAGAGAATGAGCTGTTTTAAATAATTTGTTTTAGCTCAGTGTAAACATACTCTAGAACTTGGGGCAGATCTTTACTGTGCAAAAAAGGTGATTCAACGACTATTGATTGTGTAGGTCTACTCTACCTTAACTTCTCACTGTACTGAAGCAGAAAGATAATTTCTTCTTGGGGAAATACTGAGTTCCTGTGCATGGTCTTTAAGTGGGTCAGTGATCCCTAATTGCAAAGAAGCCTCACCACACCAGAATTACTTATTCTTTAAAAGCTGTTTGAGTTCTTTTATCTCTAATAGTTATTTTGTTGTTGTTGTCATTTGATTTTTAAATGACCATTCAGGTTATTTCCATAAACTTTGTGAGAGAAGGATGTAGTAGTCCTATCGTCACAAGTCATCTGTGTCTGAAATTTATGGGAAAAGAAAAGTTTGACATTAAACTTCTTCAGTTACTACATCTCCTTTCCTTCAGGCTGTAGAGATGGGTGGTATAATAGAGTTCTTTCATCTTTATACAGTTGTAATTCTAAAGTGTGTGTGCCTAATAATACTATTGTTTGGCTCTAAACTCCCAATGTACTGATTTTTTAGTCAATTATTTATTTTAAAAAACAGCATGGGAGGACTATCAACTTGGAAACTTTATTTATTTATTTGTTTTTTAGCTGAGCCATCCTGCCACCTGTTGGCAGCTCAGCAGCAGCTCTGCTCAGGCCGTGAATTGAACCAGTGACCCTGTTGCTTAGAGCTCGCACTCTTGAGTGAGCTCTTAACCAACTGAGCCACTCGGCCGACCTGGAAACTTTTAAAAACAGTTTTATACAGCTTTTTAGCCATTTATATTTTAGGTTTGTGTTGTCCATGAACCGTAGACATTGACCTATATATTCTCAGAGCCAAAAAAATCAGGGCATGTATGCCTGGGGAGAGCCCAACAGTGACTGTAATTGGTAATATTATGTAGTCTACTTCTGTCTGTTCTCTCTCTTTTCATTATTTTTAATAGGAGTCAATATTTTGAGTAAAAGGTATATGCACTTGTGTGGTTCCCTTAAGGCAGTGTGTTTCCTAGGCTTCAATCATTCCCATAAAACCTTTAGAAATTTGGTCATTTCTGGCTATCTATGATGTTATTTTCTTAATGTATTTAATTAACTAATTTTAGCTTAAAAATTAACAGGAAAACTCAATTATCGCTACAGTAAAACCATTATCACTACGGAAAAATTGTATCCATTACTCTAAATAGAGGCTAACTATAGTTATATAAATGTAAGTTCTGTGAAAATAAAACAAAGTTGCTCGATTCTAGCTGGCCTTGATGTTCACGGCCTGCCTGAGTGTTGTGAAATAGAGTAAGAAGCATATGTTATGAAGGCTATTTAAGATATAAAGGATCAACCAGACTTTCTCCTTTTAATGATAAGAAAGATTAAAGGAGACCAAACTAAAATTCATCTCCTGTATCTCCAGTCGTTCACACCTAGTCTTTGGGAAGCAATGCTGGCTTACATTGCTGCATTGAGGCAACTGAAGAAAGGTAAAATGTTGAGTAGTGTTGGCTTGAGGTGGATATGGGGATTTAATACCAAGTGTTCTTCCTATTAGAATTTCAAAAGACTAATAATTCTGGAAATAAATTTGCATGTTAAGTCTATGTCATATTACCTACTTGTTTTCTCCGTTAATGCTTTCCTATTTGTGTTTATATGGATTCTGTTTCTCCAATTTATTATTTTTCCCTTTAATATCCAGGTATCTTTCATTAAATTTTCTTAGTGATGTAAAGATGTTTTGTGGAGAAGATTGATAATAATTTCGTAGGTTAAGAAGGTTTAAGCTAAATGAAGACATACTAGAAGTTAGGTTCAGAGCAGACTTTTATTATGCAGAAAGGTGGTTCAATGATTGTAACTGACTGTTTTAGACTCACTTTCCCATAATTTCTTATTTTACTAGAACGAAAGGTAGATATAAGTGTTAGATAAGGTTTTCAATTTCGTTTTTTAGCAACCATTAACAACCAAGTATTCTTGGTCAGCAGGAAGCAGTTAAAAATCTTGCCCCTTGCTTTTAATGGTAAAGTATTCTAGTGACATCTTGTGGCTACTCCGATGTTAAACCCAAATGCCTTTCTCCTTGACTAGATCAGTTTCTCAGGCTTCTTAAAACCTTTGCCCATAAAAGGCTATATTGTGACAAAGTGCAAGATCACTTTATGTGAGCTCAGTGATAACATTTTTCACTCGTTCTACATTGTCACAAAAGAAAAAAAGTGAGGACAGTGAAACTAACCTCACTCTGAACTATGTCCCAACTGATCTTGAAAGTCACTTCCTAACCCCACATTCCTCACCTCCCCACCCTCAGATTAGAACTTCAGTCGTGGGGCAGGGTAGGGAGCCAAACATGTTATCTCCAAATCTTTTGCTTGGGCTGAGTTAGTGGAGTTGTTTACTAAAATTACTAAAATAGAGAGATTCCTGTACCCCTCTGGGATCAGGGGCCAGGTATGGGTCACTGATTCTTAAAAGATAGATGATCTACAAGCTACTCAATATTTGTTGAGTGAATACATTTTTCTGTAAATCGTCATTAACCATAATTTTATTAAATTTATGTTCTATTCTTTTTATTCAGAAAATAGTGTGATTTTTTAATTTCCCAATTATTTAAATTTTCTAAAATGAAAGTGCTTTTTTTTCAAACTAAGCCAGCAGTTTCCATTTATATCCTCTTAACTCTACCTTGTTCTGTATTTTTAGACTCTTCAGGGTCCATGTCCCCTCTGCTCATAAAACATACCCTCTACTCTTAGAGTCTTCAGTGGCATTCAGTCCTATTACCTTCTCGTTGCATTCAAGGCAGATAGGCCTAGAAGGAACTATAAGTCTTCTCTTACCTGATGAACCTTTTTGACAGTTTATATGCTTTAGCTGATAATGTACAATTTTTAAACTGAATTTCTCATCAAATAGGAAAGAATGATGCCATATATGTGTGCTTTGTTTCCCTTTCCTCTGTATTTTTTCTAGTCCCTTTTATATATGTTACCAAGCCTTATGTCATAACACAATATTGTATTTGTGATAAGTTCTCCTAATAGTAAGCCTACACTTCCAGCAGCAAACCTGCATTTGCTAGGTTAGTATCTATCATTCAGCATATCATTTCTTCTACAGAGCTTACCTCATCTTGTCCCCATATACCCTTGGAGTGGCATAAAATGAATGAATTATTCGAAAAGTAACCTGCAAAGCCTTTAATTAGATCATCTACCCCTGGAAAGCCTTTAATAACACTATAGCTCTTGAGACAGTCATGTCCTTATGCTCAAAAGTTTTAAGGAAAAAGTGTGGTTTTAAGTTTATGTGTATATTCAACTGAACTAATATGAAAAAGTAGGTATTACAAACAATGTGTCTGAGTCATATTAATGAGCTAAAGATTTTCTTGTTTTTAGACTAGAAGAAATGGAAGAAAAATATCTAATGAGAGAATCAAAACCAGAAGATATACAGATGATTACAGAATTAAAAGCCATGCTTACAGAAAGAGACCAGGTCATAAAGAAACTAATTGTAAGATATTTTGTTTTTGGTGTGACCATGTAGTAATCAATAGGCTGTTGATTGAGAAAACATGGGGGAATATTTTTAAGTAATGCTAAACAAAAATTGAAAGTATAAAATACGTGCATTGTGATAGAAAGTTTATTAAAATGTCATGAATGAGGGTAAGAAATAGTAATTTTAAAGTTTAAATTGGTATTAAGGAGATTGTGTCTTCTTTCAGTATTTTTAGTACATATCAAATGTGTAGTAATATGTCATTGCCAGGGTAGAGTGAATATACTGTTGAAGTGTGTGCATTGTACATGTAGGATTAGAATTGGATAGGAAAGAACAGCTACCACACGCCTGTGTTAGACTGCATTGTACACTTCCAGGTTAGTCAAGTTAATTCCTGAAGTGTGTTCCACCAAACCCTGATCCCAGGAGACGCCCATGGAAAAACGGTTCCCTAAGGTACAGGGAACCCCTAAGAAAAGCTATGAGCTCCCTTGGAGAGTCTCAGTCCACACTGGTGTTCGGGGTTCTGAGAAGTCCATCAGGGGAGAAAATACAGATTCAACAACACACTGCTTTCATTAAAGCCATTAGTCTTTAAGACTAAAAAATACACAAATGTTTTAAAATTCATAAAACATTTCAGTCTTCTAAAATTATATGTACTGATCAGTCATGAAAATATTGCTTTTTGCTGCCACTAACAAACAACAAATACTTCAGAGTAAAACTAGAAAAGAACACTAATCATATGTGCTCATTGATCCCTTCAACTAAAAACTTTGGACATGAGCATGCAAAGAAAGCCAAAGAACAGTTATTTGTGAAGTCCTTTTTCCTTAACAGATCCCGTTTAGCATTTAGGAAAGCCAGTCTGTTGTCTGGGGCTAGTTCCTGCCAAAATTAACAGGTAGTTGCCTGTGGTTCTTAGATGAACCCAGAAGCATGCATTGGAAAGATAGAGCACACGCTGCTTCAAGCCACTAATCACCCAGTTCTCCAAGCATTATCAGCATGAGCACAAGACTCAGATTGTTCTCTCTCATAGCAGTGATGATTCATGATGATTCTCTAATAGATTCGTGGACACTTACCTTACATTCTACACATGCAATTAGCAAATGTATTAAGTGTATTTCATCTATGGTCCATAGAAATAGCTAGTTCTTACTGATTTTCTAGTTCTCACTGAACAGGTATTATGGATATAATTGTATTTTTTCCTCACTACACGTAGGTATTAGACTTCAAAGAGTAAAGTAATTTTCCACTAGCAACACAGCTAGTCAGCAACAGGGCCAGGAATCTAGCCACGTGTTGTCCTACACTTCCCACTGTACCCCGACTCTGTGGACTTTGAGACACTAAGGCCAAGGTTAATGATGCAGATGACAGTCAGTGGTAACTCAGAGGAGAATGAAGAATCTAGTTCTACAAGAGCACATCCCTGCATTTCACTCACTGGTCCATTTACTTAGGTTTACTTCCTACAGCCTGGTTTTCAATTAGCACATGCTGTTGGAGAAGCCAAAGGGTTTTCTCTACATGGACCATTCGCTTTTTCTCTGTTCTGTGATTACCACTGCTGTAATACATCAGTGTCTCAGAGAGGAGATTAGACAGGATCAAATATAGTTCCACTGCTCAGAAATAATGCCAAATCCTAATGTCATCTTCATGAATGGAAACAACTCAGCCATGCACACAGCTCCATAAATGCAGGTTAAACCTGCTCAAACTGCACATTCAGCCCTTTGGAGCAGCGAGAAAACCAAATAAAACATTTAGTTCCACTCTTGGAGGAAAAAGGTATTAAAAGGTAGAGAAGAATCCCGTACTATAGGGTTTGGAAGGTGTTGAAAACTTACCTACCATCAGTCTTTAAGACACTGGCAAGCAAGTCTAGAAATCTTTGCTCAAGATATAAATCTTCATTCGGGTTTTATATTAAATTTTGAATGAAATGGCATTTATACAATGAAGTTTTTAAATATTCAATAGAAAATGTTTAAGAGATGTTTATAATTCTTTTGCATAGGAGGATAATAAATTTTATCAGCTGGAATTAGTCAATCGAGAAACAAACTTCAACAAAGTGTTTAATTCAAGTCCTACTGTTGGTGTTATTAATCCATTGACTAAGGTATGTGATGTAAACAATGTAACCTAGGAATATAGTTTGAAACTCGATTAAAATTTTTATAAAATATTTAGAGCAGCATAGGCTAAAGCTTCCAAAAATGTTTTCTTAAATTTAATAATCTTAGGATTAAATATGAAATCTTTATGTATTCATTTTCAAAATGAGATGTTAATAATATTTATTTGTTGATAATTCATACTCCTTAAAATGATATTTATATTATAATATAAAACCTTGGTGCTACCATTTTGTTTTTCATATTTGTAAAGAAAACTAACTTGGAAATCTCTTCAACATAATTTCTTGTCATTTCCTTAGTGTTCATTATCCTCTATAGCAGCGGTTCTCAACCTTCCTAATGACGAGTGACCCCTTAATACAGTTCCTCATGTTGTGATGACCCCCAACCATAAAATTATTTTCATTGCTACTCTATAACTGTAATTTTGCTACTGTATGAATCGTAATGTAAATATCTTTTTGTTTTCTGATGGTCTTAGGCGACCCCTGTGAAAGGGTCGTTTGACCCCCAAAGAGGTCGCAACCTACAGGTTGAGAACCGCTGCTCTATGGGGTCTTGAAAGGCACTCTAGCCCTGTGTACCCAGCAGCTCTCCCTAACTTACAGCCCGCCTTGTGTTGGGCATGTATTACTTCTTACCAGCTGTCAGAGAAGGGCTTTACTTCTCTCAGTCTTATGACCTTTTCTTAATTAAAATTGACCATGACCTATTCTGATACTTCTCTTAGAGATGGAAGAGCCTTGTAGACAAATGAAATGTACATGCTAAGTTTTACACATCTCTGTACCCCAGCTTTCTATGGCTTCATCATAGTGCTTTGGGTATAGTAGGTATTCAATAAATATTTATTTGTTCAGTTGTAAAATTTCAGCACATTTTGTGTAAGCCACCAAAATTATTCTAGTGAATAAAGCAAGTAATAAAGAATAAACAATTATGGGGTGACATACATTTGGGCAGAAATCAGTAGTAGAAATAAAAGTGCTAGCGTTAAAGCTATTTTTTAAATTCATATTTTATTATCATATCATGCCTAATTTTAATTAGGCCCTTAGCCAGAAATTTTTGCTTTAAAAGGTCATAAAACTTCTTTCTCTGTTAAGAACGCAGATTCTGTCCTTCCTTCACAAGTTAAAGTGCTCCAAACTTTAAACTTAAATCTTTTGTAAACTAGAATGACTGAAGTAGGGAGCTCTATAGCTGTATCTCCAGAGCCCAACATACTGCTGGGCACATGGAAGGCTCTCAATAAATAACTGGTGAATGAATGAATACAGTTAGTTTTAATTTTTATGTTTATAATTTAGGGTGAAATAAACTTTTAAAGAGTTGTTAAAACAAGATATACTAGAAATATTTTCCTTTTATTTATTATTTTATTGAAATTACATTTTTAGCTACAAAACCATTACTGTGGAATTTTGCCACTGATACTTTTAATTTCTTAAAATAGAAACTTTAAGTATGTTTAATTATGCCCTCTGTGACTAGAACAAGAAAATCCATAAGGTACATCTCTGTAAGAACTTTCAAATACTTTTGACTCCTGCTAGTGATTTCGATTTTCACAAGTAGTTCTGAAGAAGACATTATTCTTCCTTTCTTTTTCAGTTATGCTAAAATAGGCTTCTTGTCAGAGACTCCATGATTAAGAGAATATGACATTGAGGACAATGTCTAGATAATGAGATCATTACAAGTAAAGGAAAAAAGGGCTGTCTTGTCTATTAATGGTATTTTTTGCCAACTTCTGGAGTCATGTTGCAAAAAAACAAAAAGCCCATAAATTTAGTTGGTATACATTTAATTAGTAAAATATTGAAATATTCAAAATATTTTACATGGTAATTTATTTTTTTTAAAGATTTGTATTGGGGAATTGGGGGATGGGAACAGCGCTGGGGAATTGGGGGAAGGAGAACAGACAAGTTGCTGTCATTTTCTTCAGTCTAGTTGTGGAGGACGTTGCTTCACTGGCCCAAGTTGGCACCATCATTGCGCTCTTCCCGGGCGAGGCAGATCAGTCGCCGGCTTACGGCCGCTCACTTGGCTGCTGGCCACTCACGCAGGCTGCTGGCTACACACGGTAGCCCATGGCAACCCACTGCCACAGTGGCTGCAGCCTACGCCGTCGCCGGCGACTCACGGCAGCCCAGCTCCAGGTTGAGCTGTTGTTCAGCATCTTAGCTGTGGAGGGCAGTGTCACTGGCCCTCATATGTGGGATCCGAACCGGGGCCCTCTGGCGTCCCAAGCCAGTTCTTAACCATCGCGCCACTCGGCTGGCCCTACATGGTAATTTTTATTCTGCATAATAAGATGATGCTCATTGATTCTGGAGGTGTGAATAACATAGAGACTAAAGTTAATTTACAAACTGACAGATTTTGATAATCTGCAATTGTGTTCTGTTTTTCATGTTAATTTTAAAGAACAATTAAAAAATAACATTGATTTGTTTTACCTTCAAATTTTTTTAAAAGACTGTGAGCCAATTAATGATACTCCCAATTAGTTGGAAAATGAGACTTAATTATGCCAATTTAATTTTCTCCCTTCAGAAAGATGGTGCGGTGAATTTAAAACCAAATTATTTCTCTTAAGTCAGCTGTAGATCTTAAATAGATTTATGAGATTTGTTTTAAACTACATTGCCAAGTATTTTCTCATTCCTTTTTTTTTCCAGGCAAGGACTGCTTCCCTTTGACAGATGGCTAAGGATCACGGACCTCTCTTTTAAAATTATGTTTAACTTTACATCTTCTCCTAATTTTAGCCTAAATGTATTTAACTTAGTGGTATAGGCAACATCTACTCCCCCCGCCCCTTTCCCCTTTTCCTCCCAGGATTCTTTACCCCTTGGCATTCTTTCTACCTCCTCTTGCCTCCCCATGAGCCATTCCTAAATGTTTCTTCCTCATTCTTTCTGACCTAGCAGCATGTCTGTCTATGAGGATTCCATGCAGATAAAGAACACCTCCAAGGATCCCCAGACCACATTTTGGGTAACACTGGTTCATTTTAACATCCCAAATTAACATAAAACTTCGAAAATTTTCTCACGCCAAATTTATATCTTCTGCTATTCCTATTTTTTCATTTGTCCTTGTGCAGGGACTGTCCTCACATGTTTTATTTTTAATGCAGCAAAAGAAGAAGAATGATAAATCACCAACAAGCAGGTTTGTAAGTGTTCCCAATCTAAGTGCTCTGGAATCTGGTGGAGTGGGCAATGGACATCCTAACCGCCTGGATCCCATTCCTAATTCTCCAGTCCATGACATTGAGTTCAACAGCAGCAAACCACTTCCACAGCCAGTGCCACCCAAAGAGGCCAAGATGTTTTTGAGGTGAGCCCCGTCTCACCAGTGATTCTCTTTTTTTCTTTTCTTTTTTAACTCCATAAATTTACCGTCTTACATTGCAGAAATGTAATTTAAGAACAGCCTAGGAAAATAAATATTACTGTGAAATATTTTCAAAATATATTTATCATCTCTCTAGAGAACTCCTTTTTTGACTCTTACAAAGACTTTTCTAATTTGTTAGTCAATTTTCTAAATGCTTAAAGAGGTGCTAATGTAATTCATATGCTTAGAATTTTAATATTTATGGATTGTTGCTTCATTTTCAGTATTGTCACTAATTTTTCATTAATAATACATCCTTAACACAGAAATTGAAATTTTTTTTTTTATTATGTAGCTATTGTTTCTATTTCTTCTGTTATATGTTTACCAGGCTTATTTATAAAAATATGTTTATTGCCAAAATAAAAAGTACGTAAGTTCTGGAAACTTAATGATATACATAGGCAACAAATAAATTTATTATTATTATTATTATTATTATCTGAGCCATCCTGCCACCTGTTGGCAGCTCAGCAGCAGCTCAGCTCAGGCGGGACTCGAACTGCTGTTGCTCAGAGCTCAAACTCTTGAGCGAGCTCTTAACCAACTGAGCCACTCGGCTGGCCCCGCAACAAATAAATTTAGAAAAAATAAATAATTTTTATAATTGACATTCCAATTTTAAGTTATCTCAGACTTGTTAATTAAGTGTATTATTAACAAATAAAGTTTGAATGAAATCCAGTTTTTTACCTATCAAATAGTCAGAAAGTACTATCATTTCATGCTTACTATTACTAATTTTACTAACTCTCAGCAGTGTCAGTACTACCGTATTTGCCGGCGTATAAGACGATTTTTTGGCCCTGAAAAATATGCCTCCAAGTGGGGGGTCGTCTTATACGCCAGGTACACTTCAGATAGACTGCCCATAGTGCTTGCCCCGTGCCATAGTGGCCTCCCGATGCCCGCCCACTTCATTCCACATACCGTTCAGGCATCAGCAGCGCTGCTGGGTGTATGCTCGGCTGTTATGCGATTTTGCTGTTATGCGATTTTACCACACTCGCAAAATCGCACACAGCCGACCATACACCCAGTATAATAGCACAAAATCGCGAATCGCGATACCATACTGGGTGGATGGTCGGCTGTGTGCGATTTTGCGAGTGTGGTAAATTCGGGTTACCGTATATTTCTTTACATATGCATTGAAGATTCGCGATTTTGCGCTATCATGGTGCCTGTTAGAATGTTGAAGAGCTCGCACTTGCGCACTAGTGAGGTCCCAGGGAGATGCTGATGCAAGGGTGGACCAGACTGCTATAGTGACAGGGCGGGCAAACAGGGAGCAGGGACCAATCAAATCAGGCTTTGTATACAGCCAACAGCCAACCACAATACTGCACCATTGTACAGTACAGCATAGAAAATGTCGACCAGTCAAACCCCTATCATCCCTATCATGGCACCAGCCAAAAGAAAGAAGTATGATGCAAATTTTAAACTGAAAGTTATAAACTTTGCTAAGGAAAATAATAATTGTGCTGCTGCAAGACAATATGGAGTAACAGAAAAGATGGTTCGGGACTGGAAATCAAATGAGAAAGCATTAAAGAGTATGCCAAGGGGTAAGTGTGCATTAAGAAGAGGCACCCCACACTGGCCAGAACTCGAAAAACATGTAGCAGACATGGTGGCTCAACATCGCCAAAACGGTTATGTGGTGACACGAAATACAATACGCTTGTTTGCACTTCAGTGGGCCAAATCAAATCTGATATTGTTTTACCTTTTATTTGGTGTGTGGAAGGTGTGCGGAAGAGGGGGTAGTCTTATACGGCGAGTATATAACAAACTCTGTATTTTGAGTGGAAATGTTAGGGGGTCGTCTTATACGCCCAGTCGTCTTATACGCCAGCAAATACGGTAATAGTCTTATAGGTAGACTATCTTTTTCTAGGTTAAGTGATTAATGACATAGTTAATGACTAATGATTTTAAATAGAAAAAAATAACAAGAATGAGAAATAGTCAAGTACACCCTTGACTGTGTGTCCTGCTAAACATTTTGTGTTGCTTATTTCCCTTGTGCATGGGTATGTTCAGGTATCAGTAAGATGCATGTGCATGAGCCCAAGGAACATGACTACTGGACTTTCCATTACACATTGTTGCGTGCCTTGTAATTTCCCCCTGAGACGGTAGGGATTCTTTTATTTTCTCAACTAGTCCAAAGAATCTGTAGTTAGACTTAAGATAAGTATAAACTATACAGTTAGACTAGGATAAGTGTAAACTATGTAACTTTGAAGATGAAGGGGAAAATGACTTTTTAATGCACTCGTTTTCCCCTAGAGTATTTGCTTATGAAATTATGAAAGTTTAATATAATTTATAGTACAAATACTATACCATGGTTTAGTTACTTTAGTTACACGTAAGGACACATCTGTAAGAATCAAGTGCTTGTGTCAGATTCTGAAATTTGAATTAACTAAGAGAAAAGGTGCTGAGGGGACTGTTATCTTGTTCTCTTGCTTCCCATCATTCCTCCCAAATTCTTTTATTTAAGGAAGGTGACATCATTTTCCTCAACTTTTTGATTTTTGTTTTTTGTATTTGTCGTGATGTGGCTCCTCCTTAAATGACGTCACCTGAGCTATGATCCAATCGCCTGGAGTGAGGGTCCCAATCTGGTGTAGTGGAAGTAGCCAATCTTTAGCACACACTAAAGACACAGGGAACCACTGTGGTCATCTACGCTGATGTTTTATGTGCCTTCCCCCTCATTTGGCAAAACAACTGAATGCTGGGTCCCATGTCTCTCTCTCTATGAATCCAGCCCTCCTCCGAGTGAAGCCTCCCCCATGGCCTCTCCGGATCGCCAGCGCCAGGAGTGGTTTGCCCGGTACTTCACATTCTGAAAGAACGGTGTTGGCACAGCTCTGTGTGGACTGTAACTGAGAGCATGACCCTCCAGATGGTTATGTGTGCAGGCTTTCCTGTGGCCAACACTGTGAATGAGAAAGCACTTGTCGCTCCAATTTGAAAATGCACTGTATTTCCTGTGATATTTATTGGAATCACTCTATAAGGTACTACCGGGGGTGCCAAAAACAATGTATACACATTTTAAGAGATGTTATCTATGCTCAAGCAGTAGTTTGCTGGAATCAGAAGTGTCTGGACACTGATGGTAACCACTTTGAGCACCTCTTGTAATTGCAGAGGTCAAACGTGACTTGTATTCATCTTTTGTTATCAGCATATACCGAGTATTACAATTAATATAGCTTTTTCCTTTCTTAAAACATGTATACATTTTTTTGGCACCCTCTGTATATTACGTGTGTAATTATAACAGTTATTTTTATTTGAGATGGAAGAGTCTTTAACCTTTGTAATTACTGCATAATAAATTTTGTTAGAACAAAGAATAATGCTTTTCATTTTTCCTAGTAAGTTTAATTTTTAAGTACTTTTTAATTTCAGGTAAGACTTGCCAAAAAGTTTTACTGTATAATAATTGTAAAATACCAAATTATTTAACTTCAGTAATCATAACAAAATCAAGATAAGGAAACAATGTTATCTTAATTTGTTGCATTATTATGTATAGCTGTAACTAAACTGTGTTCTCTAAATTTACAAGGCTAGAATGAAAGAAAACACTTGTGGTCTTTCAGATATATAAAATACTTATGACTTATTTATAGTGTTTTAATTATTCTGATAGTTGAGAATCTAGGACTTTTAGTATAGCAGGACCTACATTATGGTTTATGGCCAAAATTTATTAGGTAAAGAGGCACTCAATTCTATCTTAATTTGTCTTAAAAGCCAGTTTGTTAGTTTTAAAAATAGTCAATATAGTGTTGTCACATGAACATGGACTCAACGAATCACTGTCACATTATGGAGACCTTTTTATTCCTTTAAATGTTTAGCCCATTTTGGCAGGATACTGTACTGTATCCTGTAGCCTGAAAGAGTGCATCCATTTCTAGTAGTGCCAAATTTAGTTGATTTCAGTAATGTAGATTTTAGAAAAATCCAGGTGAACAAGATAAATGCAAATACATGATCTATGAATGACCATAATAATGTTAAAGACCAACTTTTTAAGTGGTTATGTGGCAGGCACTGTGCTAAGCTGGCAGTAGAAAGATTCTCATTTAATCCTCACAAAATCTTTAAGGAATAAACCAATGCGTAGGAGTATGCACAGTGGTAACACACTCTTTAAGTTATCCTGGAAAAAAAAAGTTTCTACAAAATACTTGCTCTGAATTTTTTTCCTTGAACTAAGAGGTTGAATTTTCCAAGAAAACTGGTTAATGCTTACTTTAGAAAATATAGTTATAAGAACATTTTCTTGCCCCAAGTTTATATGTATCTCATAATTTGGACATTCATTTACCAAGGTTTTGATGACTAGAACTCATGCACGTGACTGGGATAGATACGGGCATACAATTTGACGGACATTTGTCCTCAAGGAGCCAACCATGCACTTGCCAAAATAGTCTAGAATCAACCCTTTAACAGCAATATCAGGAGGGCCACAAATAAGATTTATGGAGTGTACAATACAATAGGAACAGAAGCAGAGAGGAGGAACTGATTAACTCTACCTAAATGGTGGCTACCTACCCTAACCTGTCAAGTTAACCTAAGCTTGACATGGAAGTGGTACCCAAGTATAATATTGAAAGATGAATAGGAAGTAACGAGACAGACCAAAGATGGTGCTGTTCTGGGGACAAGCTGAAACAAAAGTCAGGAAAAAGCATACCAGCTGCATTCCGAGAAGTCAGTGTAATCCTGTAGGACCAATGTAACATGATAGGAGAGCAGACATTTCTTGAGCACCTATCTTGTATGAGACACTACAATTATAACATTTTTAACCCAACAACTTCTTCTTTTGTTCCTCTGCCCAACACACACACACACACACACACACACACACACACAAGTATACAGCTGGTAAAGGTTGAAATCTATGCTCTTTCCATTATGCTACAAATGCCCTGGAATGTTTAGTAAGGAATTCAACTGGATCCTCTAGAATTTTGAGCATTTGAATTTTAAAGAAAAATTTTTAAACGCCATATTGGCTGCAGTTTGTTCAGAATAGATGGGCAATACCAATTTGAAGCTTATTGAATTGGTTCAGGTGAAAACTGAACCAAAGAATTGTTCATTAGTGGGCATGGAGATGAGGGAAACAAAGAGTGAAAATGTAGAATTGGTGGGAGTCGGTGACAAAAACTCGTGGGATATGAAAGAAAATGACGTGTGGGCAAAAGACAGTGTGATTTCAGATATGCTGAAATTAAAGTTTCTCTGGAATAATTAACAGGCACTTAAACACACGGATCTGGAGCATGGCATAAATGAGATTGAATAGGTTTGAATAGAGCTTTGGGGGACACCAACATTTAAAGGGCAGGCAGGGCTTGAATGAGAATGAGAAGTAGAGTTATAGCCCAAAAAGCATGATGTTGTGGGAGAAGAATGTTCCAAACAGCAAGCAGCCAACCAGGTACTGCAGAGATCAGGAAAGGGAAAGAGTGAAAAGGGTTCGCAGGCTTTGACTGCTAGAAAACAGTCTTAGCAAAAGCAGATGCAGGGGAATGGCAGCGCAGCCAAAGCTAGATTTCAGGGAGCTGCATGGAAGGCAGTTGACAGTGAGTGAAAACCCTTCTTTGAAGAAACCTGGTGATACAGGGAAGGGGAAAGAAAAAAATATCAGGATGCAAGGCCAAGATGGGTTGTATTTGTGTTTTATCTGTTGTGCTGGGAAGAGAGGAGGGGTTTAAAAGGACAGGAGAAAGAGACAAGCAAAAATTTTACAACTTTCAACTGTTTACTGGGTAACATGTAACAACATGAGACTGTCAAAAGAAGTCATATACAAATGGTTAACATTATGATTGAAGAAAAAGTTTCAGTAAGACATTTACTTTGATAGACTATAAAAAGCAATGTGGAATTCTAGAATCTTGGAGTTAGAAGAAGCCTTAAAGTCCATCTTTTTAAATTTCCCCCAGAATGCTTGAACCTCCTGTGTAACATCCCAGACTGAACTTTAACACTCCAGTGCTTTAATACTTAGGCTTCCACATGTTGGCTCTGCCGTTAACAGTGTCTTAACCTCTGTGACTCAGTCTCCTTGGATGTGCTCTTTGGCCATCCTCAGCTACTTGGATGCAGGTTTATAGGAACAGATGGTTATATTTAACCAGGATTAGAATTTTGTTAGGTAAGTACCACAGAAGGAGGGAGTTCAGAACAGCAAGTGTGTTTGCAGAGAAGTGATGATAATGATAAAAAAAAATGCTATTAATCCTTTTTAACACCCCTTATTACATTTATGCTAAGATTTTAGAAGTAAAACCACAGTGGCAGATACTATCGATTGCCTTACTAGAGTCTGATCAACAATTTCCAATGTGTTTTGGGAAGGAGGGGTGCTTCCCTACACATCCAAGCAGTTTTAGGACACCATCTGGGTGTCCTACAATTCAAAGCAATTCTGACACTATCTACCTGGAGATAGCAGCAGGTCCCACAAGACCACTCTCCACTTCAGATGCCAATCACAAGCTCAGGTTGTCACCTGTACTCCTGATGCCTGGCTATAAATCAGATGTCCCCAAGAACGCCTCCTTTAATTAATTTGCTAGAGCAACTCACAGAACTCATGAAATCTGTTTACTCACTAGATTACAAGTTTACTACAAAGGATATTAAAGAATACGAATCAATAGCCAGATGAAAACAGAGTGAGGTCCCAAACAAAGTAGCATCTGTCCTAGAGGATGTTAAGGCCCCTCACAGTGACATGTGAAAGTGTGTGGTTCCCTCATCTAGAAGTTCTCCAAATCCAGTCTTTTTGGGTTTCTATGGAGGCTTCATACATAGGCATGGTTGAATTAATTGGCCATTGGTGACTGAACTCAATCTCCAGCCCTTCTCTACTCCCAGAAGCCAAGGAGTTCCAACCCTTTAATCACATGATTTGTTCCCCTGGCAACCAGCCCCCATCCTTAAGCATAAGACAAGATTATCATATATCCAGCAATTCCACTTTTAGGTATATACCCCAAAGCAGAATTGAAAGTAAGACTGAAAACAGATACTTGTAGACCAATGGCCATGCAGCATTATTCACAATATCCAAAAGGTAGAAACACACAGTATCTTGACACAGATCTCATATGCTTCACTAAAATTAACTCAAAGTGAATCACAGACTTAAGTGTAAAACACAGAGCTATAAGTCCTAGAATGTAGGAGAAACCTAGATGCCTTTGGTATTGTGATGACTTATTAAATACAACAAAAGCACAGTCCAGTATACACTGGACTTGATTAAAATTAAACATCTACTTTGTGAAAGACAATGCCAAGAGAATGAGAAGATAAGCCACAGACTGGGAGGTAATATTTGCAAGACACCTCTGATAAAGTACTCTTAAAACTCAACAATGAGGAAACTAGCAACTTAATTTAAAAATGGGCAAAAGACTTGAAAAGACACCTCACCAAAGAAGATATACAGATTAAAAGTAAGCCTATGAAGAGATGTTCAACATCATACAAGTATGTCATCAGAGAAGTGCAAAATGAAAACAATACCACCACACACCTATTAGAATTGCCAAAATCCAAAACACTGACAACGTCAAATGCTGGAGAGAGCTGACAGCAACAGAAGTTCTTTCATTGCTGGTAGGAATACAACATAATACAACCACTTTGGAAAAACAATTTGGTGGTTTCTTACAAGGCTAAACATACTCTTTACCATATGAACCAGCAGTCATGCTCCTTGGTATTTACCCAAGGGAGTTGAAAACTTATGTCATACCAAAACCTGCACATGAATCTATATAGCAGCTTTATGCATTATTGGTGACACTTGGCAGCAGCTAAGATGTTTGTTCTTCAGTAGGTGAGTGAATGAAGTGTGGTATATCCAGATAATTATTATTCAGCACCAAAAACAAACGAGCTATGAAGCCATAAAAAGATATGGAGGAACCTCAGACATATAATACTAAGTGAAAGAAGCCAATCTGAAAAGGGTACCTACTGTATGATTTCAACTATGTGACATTCTGGAAAAGACAAAATTATGGAACAGTAAAAAGATCAGTTGTTGCCAGGGTTTAGGTGGGAGGGCGGGATGAATAGAGCACAGATTTTTAGGGCAATGAAACTTTGTATACTACAATAGTGGATACGTTTTATATATATATATATATATATATCTGTCAAAACCCATAGAATGTACAACACAAACAGTGTGCCTACTGTAAAGCATGAGTTTTGGGTGATACTGAAGAGTCAATGTAGGTTTATCAATTGTAACAAATGCACCACTTTGATAAGAGGATGTTGATAGTGGGGAAGGTTGTGCCTGTGTGGGGACAAGAGGCATATAAGAATTCTCTGTACTTTGCTCAATTTTGCTGTGAACCTAAAACTGCTCTAAAAAAATTAAGTTTATTTTTATTTTAATTTAAAAAATATTTTTTTAAAAATAAACTTTTTCTACATACTAGAAAGGAACAATCAGAAATTGAAATTGAAAATATCATTTACATAGCATCAAAAAGCATGATTTCCCCCTCCCATATGATTTTATGGACAAATCTGAGAGATTTCACAAAAACATCAAACACTGTTTAGAGCTATTACGTACTTAACACCTAAATAAATGGTGAGGTTTACTTTGTTCAATGGTTATATCACTCAATATTAACATGCAAATTCTTCTCATATTGACCTTTAGATGCTATGCAACCCCAACAAAAACCCCACTTCTTAACAAAAAGTGACAAACTGGTTTTAAAATTCATATGGAAACACAAGAACCCAAACAACTTTGATAAAGAACAATACTGGATGCTAAACACTATCTGATTTCAAGGCTCATTATAAAGCCACAGTAACCAAAGACAATGTGGTATTTTTTGTAACAAATAGATCTGGCAACAGAATTGAAAAGTCTTAGACCACGCATAAGTGCAAAGACTTTTTAATGGAAAAAGGATAGCTCTTTAAAACAAACGGTGCTAGACATATGCAAAACAATGCTACCTAAGATGCATACTTCGCACCATATTCAAAAATTAGTTCAAAAAGAGTCATAGGCCTAAACATAAAACCTTCACGCTAAAATTTCAAGAAGAAAACACAAGAGAAAAATGTTCATAGCCTTGGGTTTGGCAGAGTTCTTAAACCAAAAAAGCACAATCCAAAGAATCCCTCCGAGCACAGCTCCTCCCGCCCGCGGCCTTCCCATTTCACCTGGGGCGGCTTCTCATTCTAGCCCCGCCCCCGGGCTCCGCGCCCCGCCCTGACTCTCCGCTCCTCCCGGAGCCCTCCTCAACCCGCCCAGTCCGCTCCGCCCCGCTTCGCGCGTCTCGAGGCGCCAGGCCGGGCGCGCTCCCGCCCGCCTCCCCACCCGGAAGAGCCACCTGAGCGGCGAAGTTGAGGCGGCGCGCGGGCCGAGCCTCCCTCCTGGCGCTTATTTCGCCCTGGCGGAAGGCGGGCCCGCCGGAGCCTGCGCGCCCCCGCGGCCGATGGTACCTAGATAGGCCCCGCGCACGCGCTCCAGCCCGTTAGCGCCTTTGGGGTGCGGTGCGACGCAGCCGCGAGGCCCGAGCTTTCCGCGCCCCGGCGCCTCGGGAGCGGCGCGCTCCATGTGACTTCTGACACTGCGTATCCGCCAGTAAGTGACAGCAGCTGCCTCGTTTCACCGTTACTTATATTTTCTTCTGCAGTTAGTCTACAGTATCGCCCACATTTGGTTAGCTCAAAACTATTCAACTCCGGGACCGGTCCGGCGACAGAGCTGCCCGGTAGCTGAACCCGGGAAGTGTCAGAGAACAGCCCAGATGTTTTAGGGCAGGAACCGCGTCCAGAAACGTAAGTGTGGAAGGCAGTCAGTCCTCCAACCACGACTCGACTCCCCGTTTGCCGCGCGCCCGCCGGCACCCGAGAGGGCGGGAAGGCGGTGCGGACAGAACACGCGCGAACAGGGAAGGGGCGTAGCAGGGGCGAGTCCCGGGACGCCGCGCTCCCGGACGAGGGGGCGTGGCTCCAGCACTGCGGCGCGGCGCCTGGGTCCCCCTGCGGTTCCCAGACCTCCAGCTAGTAGTCACCGCTCATTCACCCTCCTCGCTTTAATTGTTGGTGCTTCACTTCGGTCCAGAGGATCAAGTAATGCAACATGATTGTATTTTAACCCCAAATATTCAATAAGAAACGGAAAGGGAACTTGAAAGTTGTAAAAGAATAAGTGCCTCCAGTCTGTCTTGGTGGGCATGTTTATAGGGTTAGCAAACTTCTTAGAAACAGTTGATCCGTTTTGCGCAGATATTGAAAGTCAATGTTATTATTTTTTAAGATTTTATTTTTAAACAGACTAGGCAAAATTTAATCTGACCTTAATCTGAACCATGATTTTCCCGTTTTCCCCCTTCCTGCCCTATGTGGAGCTGTTTTAAATTGCCAAACTTGTGACTCCAAATTTAGTGTTTATAGAATCTTAGAGAGTCTCTTGTAGCCACTTTTGAGAGTCCAGTTTTTATTTTTATTTATTTGTGTGTGTGTTTTAAGAAAAGGCTACATCATGAAATACTGAATGATTATGCACTTGTCAAAAGAAAAAAAGTACACTTGTCCTCCAGTGCTCTGTTTTTAAACTAAGTAAGAGTTTCTTAGATGATCCAATTTGGACAGTTTTATCTATAACTGCACATGGCCACCTCTGGGATTGTCAACCCATTTAAATTTTTTTTTTGAAGATTTTATTGGGGAATTGGGGAAGGGGAACAGCCAAGTAGTTGTCCTTCTATCTTAGCTGTGGAGAGTGCAGCAAGCTCAGCTCCAAGTCCAGTCTCACCTCTCAGCTCAAGGTGCTGTGTTCATTTAGTTGTGGGTGGGCGTATCCACCATCCCATGCAGGAGTTGAACAGGCATCCTTGGTTGTTAAAAGTGCAGGCTCTATCCACTGAGCCATCTGGGTGGCAGCTCAGCTCAAGGTGCCGAGTTCAGTCTTTTAGTTGCAGGCAGGCGTAGTCCACCAGTCAAATAGGCACCCACAAGGAGCACATGCTCTCACCAGCTGATCCATCCTGCCACCTGTTGGCAGCTCAGCAGCAGCTCAGCTCGGGCACAGCATCACTGGTCATGTGGGAATCTAACCAGCGACACTGTTGCTCAGAGCTCGCACTCTTGAGCAAGCTCTTAACCAACTGAGCCCCTGGGCCGGCCCAACCCATTTAAATTTAATTCTTCTCTTCTTTGTGTTCCTATTCAAATTGCATTTTTACCACTGTTAGAGTGCTGTTATATTTGATCTGTCCCTTGATTCTCTGAGGGCCTAGAGAACCTTTCCCTGTGCTTTCATTTCAAAGCATAGTGACTTTTATATGGTGGATATCTGCTTGTATATGTGAAAATAAAATGAGGGTATACCCTTCTAATCTGTTGATACAAGTTTTAAAAAATGCTGCCAAGGGAATGAGATAGGCGAAGTATTAAAATATACCATACTTATTTTCAATCTGTAGTTATTTATCATTTAAAGACTAATTGTGCTTTCCTCAGTTTAATTATCTAGTTTCTTTACACTCTTGACATCTGTTTTTGCTGAAGCCCATAGTTTTCCTGGGTTAGGAAGAGAAAATAGTATATAACTTCAGTTACAAATGTAAATTTCTAAAACCAATCTGGTAACTATTCAAGTCAGAACTGGCTAGCGATTTGGTTAGTAGTGGATGTTCCATTTGTGTAGCAGAATACACATGCATCTGGGTTTGTGTAACTAGAGGGAGAGATGCTCTTTATATGAATAAAGCCTAGAGCCAGAACTCTTTCAAAGAAGTCTACTAGGAGTGACTTCAGCCAAAAGACTGGCATTTAAGATTTTATACTTGAGAGTAAATGTGTGTATAGAATGTGGTTAAAGAAAAAGGAAGGGCCTTTTACATAACATAGGGTTAATGAGGAAGAAGTTTTGGGACAGGATATGGGAAAGGCATTGGACCATTTTGGAGTTTGATAATCAGTACCAACATAATTCTTTACCCACTTAAAAAATAATACATTTACTAAGTAATAGATAATTCATATGTACTTAAAATTTAAAACCCAGGTGGGCTGGCTGGGTGGCTCAGTTGGTTAAGGCGTGAGCTCTGAGCAACAGGGTCGCCGATTGGATTCCCACATGGGCCAGTGAGCTGCGCCTGAAGTGAGCTGCTGCTGAGCTGCCAACTGGCGGCCAGATGGCTCAGCTGGTGAGAGCGAGTGCTCTTAAATACGAGGTTGCCAGTTTGACTCCTGCATGGGATGGTGGGCTGTACCTCCCCTGCAACTAGATTGAAAGCAGCGACTGGACTTGGAGCTGAGCTTGCGCCCTCCACAACTGAGATTGAAGGACAACAACTTGACTTGGAGCTGATGGGTCCTGGATAAAATACACTGTTCCCCAATTAAAAAAAAAAAGTCACTAATCTTTCCTTTCTTTTAAGAAATAAATAAATTCATATAGTATTTTGAGATTATAATGTGACCTAAACTCAGGATGATTTACAACCGAACAATTTTTTTGTTAACTTAATGTGTAAGCCTTGAATAGCAAAGGTATAATACAGTCCTTTCTTTTCCTTTAGTTACCTAGATTCAAGATGAATAGCGATCAAGTTACGCTGGTTAGTCAAGTGTTTGAGTCATATGTTTCGGAATACCATAAGAACGATATTCTTCTAATCCTGAAGGAAAGAGATGAAGATGCTCATTACCCAGTTGTGGTTAATGCCATGACCCTTTTTGAGACCAACATGGAAATTGGGGAATATTTCAACGCATTCCCCAATGAAGTATTAACTATTTTTGATGGTGCACTACGAAGATCAGCCTTGACAATTCTTGAGTCCCTTTCTCAGCCTGAGGATGTCTCCATGAAGCAGAATCTTCATGCCAGGGTATCAGGTGATCATTTCAAGACTTTATTGCCATGTTCTTCTCTAGGAAGATTTTGAGAACCCTAACACATATTGAATTCAGAGCACTAAGAAATAATTGTGATTTATACTTAAAAATGTATCCACTGTGTAGTTGAGATAGCACTTGTCAGCCCCAGGGGGTTTTAATGAAGCAATCCCCAGGAATTTGGAAATAAGTTTGTTTTCTGAGCGTTAAATCATAAAGTCAACACAGAATAAAACATAGATGTATAAATATTCTCCTAAGCAAAAGTATGGCTCCCTTACTGGCAAAATGTGACGCAGTCTGAGTTAATATAAATAATATTTTCATTAGAAAGTGGGCAAGTCAGCCTTGGAAGCATGGAAAAAGAAGTTACAGTGAGTGGCAAATGTTGGCAGTGCCCGCCTTGGCTGTGCAGTATACAGTGTGTGGAAAGAAAGTCTCAGCCAGCAACAGAGAAAAGTCAAGTCTGTCTGCGGACTTGTACCTGTAAAGGAAATATGAGGAAAGTATATTCTGTGTAGTCAAATGTCAAGGTTGATGTAGTGGTTTTTTTGTGTTTTTTTCCCCTCTATTAGGTTTGCCCATTTGTCCTGAGCTGGTGAGGGAGCACATCCCTAAAACCAAGGATGTGGGACACTTTTTATCTGTTACTGGGACAGTGATTCGGACAAGTCTGGTGAAGATCCTGGAGTTTGAACGGGATTACATCTGTACCAAATGCAAGCACATGTTTGTGGTCAAGGCCGACTTCGAGCAGTATTACACGTTCAGCCGGCCATCCTCATGTCCCAGCTTGGAGAGCTGTGATTCTTCAAAATTCACTTGCCTTTCGGGCTTATCTTCATCTCCAACCAAGTGTAGAGATTATCAGGAAATCAAAATTCAGGAACAGGTAAATGATCAAATAAGTGGGAAAAATGACTAATTTGAAGAAGTGTTTTTCTAGCAAATTTCTAGGACCAGGGAACACATAATAGATTACAAATGAAACTTGTGTCACCACTTTTTGGAAGATCAAGTATGAAACTGTTGCACATATGTCAATATAGTCTATAGAGACCATGATAGAAATACCTTGTTATGTAGAACATTGGCAAAAGGGTGTGGAATAATTTAATAATTATGTTAAAATTAAGTGACTATTTAGGAAGTTCAAACTAAATGTTCTTAACTAAGGATAGCAGAAATTAAATGGGTTTAATTGGTTTTTAAACACTGCAGTGGGATGGATTTGGGGTTCAGGCCCAATTTTTATTTGCTGTGCCGAATGAGGTATATATAAACACTTTTTAATACATGAGTACATGAGAGTGAGCCTGATTTTTTTTAATTTTTATTTTTATTATTTTTGTATTTGTCACTTAAACACAAAGTCTTATTCAGTGTCAAGGACTGAGACACCTTTGGTCTTTGTACACCATTCTGAACTCATGGCTTCTATTCTTATGATGGTTATAGTCCAAGATGGTGGCTACAGCTTCTTCACATCTGTATCCTAATCAGAGAGCAGGAACAAGGAAGGAGAGGCAAAAGCACCTGCCATCTAACCCAAGTCCTTCCATTTGAGCAGTCGCCTTCAAAGTCTCTTACAACATATCTACTTGTATCTCAATGGCCAGAACTTAGTATGGCCACAACTACATGAAAGGGAGCCTGGGAGATATATATAGTCTTTTTACTGGGACATGTCCATATGGAATAGAACCAGAGTTCTGTTATTAAGGAATAATCAAAGGAACTGTGATTTGTCCCCGGGCTTACGACTAGAGATCAGGAAAGAAATGTGTCTCTATTCTGGGTAACTTTGTTATTATGTTTAGTAGTTGGAGCATGTGTTTATTTTGACCATCCACAAGGTAGGTTGTACTAGAGATAGATGTTTTCCGTATTGGTGTTTTATTTTGCTTTAGTTTTAGTGAATTTTTAAACTGATGTTAGGCACAATTTGCCAGAAAATTCCATAAACCCCCATCATAATTAAATTGTATAATAATATCAGAAATAAAAATAGTAATTTCAAGAACTGATAGGCTTCTTAATACTTAGCATGTAGTTCAGCATACTCATTATCTGTTTTCTTTTCCTTGCTAGGTTCAAAGGCTATCTGTTGGAAGTATCCCACGATCTATGAAGGTTATCCTAGAAGATGACTTAGTAGACAGTTGCAAATCTGGTAAGAATTAACTGTTAACTTGTATAGGAGGTTCCGATATATTGATTAGGAAAAGCAGTTTTTTATTTTCCCAAGAGTGAGTGTGGAGGTTTACTTGCGCATCTTAAGAACAAGTCTGGCATGTAGGTAGGACCTGATAACAGGGAAGAAACTGGGCTAGAGTGTAGCAGTCTAGTCCAGCTGCTGGTTTTATATATGAAGAACCTATCTTGCCCAAGGTCACTTGGAGAGTTAAGGGACAAAATGACGTGTAGAACATGAACCCAGCTCCACTCACTCCTAGTCCAGGACTCTTCTTCAGTGCATCATAGCTTAACAGGAGCCACTTTTAAAAATGTTGGATTTAGTGGGCAATTATTTAAGATACATCAGAGGATGTGACCATCAAATGCTACTGCAGCCTTATTGGGGTCTAGAAGAAAGGAGGTTATTGTTTATCTCTGTTCTGTGTGTGAACACTGTTATAGGAGTGATTGATTTTTGGTCTTCTATCCTCTGAGGGTCCTCAGTGTTTCCACTGGCCAATTGCCTGAATTAAAAGGAAACTTAAAACCATATTGAAAGAACTCTGGGTATTTAGCATGGGTAAGCCTCAGGAAGGATATGACAGCCAATTTCCATTAGTTGGAAGATTGTCTTATAGAAATGGAATTGGAATCACAGAAGATGCTATTGGATTTCAGTGGGCTGAAACTACATGAAGGTAGATTTGGACTCAGTATCTAATAATCAAAGGTGCCCAACATGGGCCTCGGATGATGGTAAGTTTAAGCAGAGGATGTACAACATCTTGTTAGCTCTTTGGCCCTCATGGTGGCAGTCATACGGATGACCTACAGTGTTCCAGGCAAAACAGAGACTCTCTGATCCTCGGAGCAGTTCAGGAAACGCGAGGCTCCAGAGCCTGGTTGTTGGGAAGTCATTCTAAATTATGAGTTGATCTTTAGGCCACCAACCAGGCTACTCCTAAGCTCTATTTTGCTCCTCTCACTCAGCTTGTCTCCTCTTACTGCCTCATTGGGAAGCTTGGGAAGAATCAAACAAGTATTTGTGGAAAGGTGAGGGTTAGTATCGGCCAGTGTCTGTAGAATGGAGGTGTTCTACATTGAATTTTAAATTGTTGTTTTTACAAAGAAAATGGTAGGGAAAAGTTTTATTTGAAAAATTAAGATATTAGAAGATTTTGTAAATCAGCAGTGCCGCCCAAATGAGTAAATATTATTCCCTCTTCTACAGTAACCACATTTAAATATCATAAGAGATATTCTTAATACAGTTTGGTATGTTTTTTTAAATGCATGTGTTGGTGATAATTTGCATTTATAATGCAAAAAGAGAATGAGAAAATAAAGGCTGCTTTCTTCAGCTGTTGGTAAAGGGTAGGGCTGTAAAATTTACGTGGAACTGGTCAGCAAAAGGTGAAAATCATAGACTGCTTTCAAAGTGATCATCTTAAAAGTTTTAATCAAAGACTTTTTCTAACCAAAGAACTTGATGTTTTCCATATATCAACACAGCTGTCCTCATCCATTCTTTTCCCTCACTGTCTCCTGACAATACTGATGGGAGACTCTGGTAGAGAGCTTGAAAGTCTTTTGGATTTGTAGACTTTTTCAGTCCCAAACAAAGTTGTCCTCAGAGCTGCACTTCTTTCATCAGCTTCTCTAAAGCTGCTATTTCCAGCCCAAGGAAAGGAGAATGGAAACTTGTTCTCTGAAAGCCAGCATCATCTCCCTACATGCATTCCCAGGCCCTGTCCAGACCTTTGTCTATAAGGAGGATATGAGAGCTTATCCCTTCTCTTTCCTCCTCATATTCCAAATAACTTAAAAACTGTTTAATGAGGGCCAGCCGAGTGGCTCATTTGGTTAAGAGCGTGAGCTCTGAGCAACAGGGTCCCTGGTTCGATTCCCACATGGGCCAATGAGCTGTGCCCGAGCTGAGCTGCCAACAGGT